ACCATCATATTATTATTATTATATTATTATTATTGTCTATTACCATTATGAATTCATTATATTAAAATGGAGACTATTATGTTGTATATTTACATGTTTTATTTTCGTTTTTTTTTTCTTTCTTTTTTTTTTTTAAACCTTCATCCCATTCTTCAATCTTTTTTATCAATTATCCTTCTTTCCTCCTTCAAGCGAAGAAAGAAGATAATTGCAGTTTAAAATGCTGCATCATGTTTGTTTTTAATAATTATATTCTTGATAAAAGTCCAATTTCAACATATCTAATTTGAAAATCTATACGATTGTAAAATGGTAAGAAGTATTTTGGTGCAATTATTATTTCGATATTCCATAATGAACGCAGTTACGTGAATATTCCAACTAGCATTTTCGAATGAGGAGTTACAAAGAAAACGCATCATGGTATCAAATATAATAATTTATACTTCCTCCTTTTCTACAAAAAATAACGTATCTTATTGAAAATCAAAGAATTTTAAACTTGCAATCAATTTTAAAAATTAATTGATCTTTAAAATTAATAAAAGTTGTATCTATTTTTTTTTTTAAATTTCAAGATAAGAGAAATAATACAATTTCTATATAAATTTCTATATAAACATTCTATATCTCCTTTGATATTTATTCATACAAATATAATATTTCAAGTAAATAATAATTATTTAATCTTAATAAATTCGATTTTCGAGAGTTTAATTTAAAAATATTTAAACTAATTGCCTATAATAATATACAAACTGAATATTAACTTTCCAATATCCATACATCGGCTCTCTAAATAATAATTTCCAAATTTACCCAATAAAACGAGGGAAAACGTACACAAGGGTCGATTAAAACGCGATATCATCGAACATCGAGAGCTACCTTAATTAGAAAGGATCGATGAGATATCGGTAAACCAGCCGGCGGTTAAACGGCCGGCAATAATCGATGTCGCAAATTCATTATAAACTAATTTCGGTTTATCGCGTGAATTGTCCGCCATGTCAAGTGGAAACGGATCGTTCGAGCAAGTGAAGTGTTCATGTCTTTTTACGATCGTTTGGTGCTCTCCAACTCGCTTCGATCGCCCACGGCGTTATTTACAGGTCGGATTTATGCTTGAAAACTTCCCACGAAGATTCAAGGTTCACCGGTTCGTGACCCATAAATCAGGCATACGTTTGTCGCATGTCGTTGGGAGAAAGCTCTTCTTCGAAAGCGCATCTTTTATTCCTCGCGATTTATGCCAATTTATTGTTGCCGTTGCTTGTTATCTAACACCAATATCGAAAACACAATTCTCTTTTATTTATTTTAATTCACATTGTTCTCTTTCTCTACTTTTATTTTTTTTAATTTTCATATGTTCATGTTTTTATTTTTATTGCTATTAATTATCGTTATATTAATTATTTATTATTGTTATTAATTAATTTAACATTGTTATTGTTAATGCTCAAA